TCTATTGCATTAATTTGTGCGGAGCTATAGTCCCTGGAAATTGTTGGTGAAGCTGAGGGTCTGGTGCGCCAAACGTATGGACATGTGAGGCAGTGGCCGCTGTGGACGACTCGGGAGACTCGGTATAGGCTGGGGGTTGAAGGGCTGGCTCACCATACGGCCCAACAGGCGATCCATGATTATTGACGTTCATGGGATAACCATGGTGATAAGGAGCAGGTGGTGCATACATTTGCCCTGCAGGTAGTGACATTGGTTGCCCGGGCATCGCTACACCAGGCTGACCCGAACCTGGTATAAAATAATTAGCCTGAGCACCCGGGGTCGGCCCCATTTGGTACACAACATTCTGTTGACCGGGCATTCCGGGGGTATAAACCATGGGATTTTGGGCCCGTTTTTTGCTAAGCCTAATACATCGGGCGAAATAGCAAGCAATACAGCCGCTAACCAATAGCACTATCACCAGAAGGATACCCATTAGAAAGTATAGTATAGAGTACACAAGTGAACCGCCGGCCACCGCACCCGCTGCCAGACCGTAGGCCACACACATCCAATTGCTCTTCTTGTAGGCCCCATAGAGACCAAGAAATTGCAGCAAGATAGACACCACACCTATTATGATGATAAGTGCTCTGTCGATTTCCTATATAATTTAAAATGTTGTGTAAATAATTTTAATTACCAACATTACTAACAAGGTTATATTACGTATGATCCGATGTAATAAGTCCAATTGCTCTGTCCATTCAAAATGGAGATCTGGACGCCCAACAGCACCGGTGCCACCACTAGTGATACTCCACAACAGCCGTACAGCACTCGCTGAAGGCCTACAAGTTTTTTGTCCACAACAGCAGCCATCTATTCAGTCAATATTGTTTTGTTTTGCATATAATTCACTGAACAATAAATATTTATGGTAATTTTAATGCTATTTAACTCTTCTAATAAATTACACTTGTAGTTTAAAAATATTTATTAGGACTTGTTCATGATTAGAAACAGCACACATTACATCAAAAATAGCAAACATGTTAACACAGTGTTTCGGTACAATGTTGTAATACAGTGTATAATAATTATTAATTATTAATGTTACCGTGAGCGTTAACTATCTGATCACTACTATAGTTACCATAAGTAATTCTATTATCAATGTGTGATATTTTAACAATCAAATGATAAGGTTTTATATTTATTGTTTCTAAATTCTGTTTTAGAACTATTGTACTAATCATGGAGTGATATATTTTTATTATAAATGGTATGATTTAGTGTTGATTAAATGAACAGTTTGATTATGAAAATTGTCCTTAAACTTGACTGACTTTTTGTAACAAAACAAAACATCACAATTATCACATATTTAATCCAATATTAAACAAAGACTATGAAACATTTAATAATATAACTAGTTAAAATTATTTATTTTTAAAATAAAACTTAATGTTATCTTATTACATAAATTAATAAAATAATTTAAAATGTTATCAACAAATCACCAATTACAAAAATGCCACATAATAAATAATAATAAACCTAATTATAATTTATTTCTTCTAATACTCGTTAGTATTTATTGTATTATAAATAATAACCCTGTTAAATAATAAATCACTGCATTTTAATCCCACTGATTAATAATTAGTAGCAACACTATCTATGACTGCCATCCGGCCGCGGGTGGCATTGTTTTGTGTGAGGCTATAGTTCCGGGCGCTGTCTGTTGGTCAGGGGCGGCAAACGGCAGCGATTGTTGCTGTGACTGACTATAACCGGGCGGTTGAGCAGTGGGCGGCGGATACGCCTGAGTCTGTTGGGGCTGATAGGCATTGGTGGCGTAAAACTGTCCGTCCGCTCCCATAGCGTAGGCTGGTTGTCCGCCATAGTTGAACTGTCCCTGGTACATCATATTAGGCTGGCCGGGCATACCCGTGATGTAGACCGTGGGGTTTAGGGCCTGTTTCTCGAGTCGACGGATATGTTTGGCGTAAAAGGAGGCGACAAAACCGCTGATAAACAACGAGACAGTGAGGAGTAGCGCTAAATAGTAGAAGAGTATGGCGTATGTGACGGACCCGCCGGCCAGTCCTCCCGCAATCACGCCGTACGTGACGGCCATCCAATTGGATTGCTTGTACGCGGCGGCGTAGCCAAGGAATTGGGACACTATTGTTAACACGCCAAGGGTTATGACAAGAGCACGGTCCAATTCCTATTTGTTATTTAAACGTAAATTTTAATTAGCTAATTTAAATAAAGTGTCATGTAGATTTGTTTTGGGTTTTAATTTATTATAATTTAAAACGTGGTTATTGTTTAGAAATAAAATTAATGTAATTACTTTCGATCCAATGTAGTATTCATAAGAGACATAAGTATCACTCAATGCGCTTATTTTAATGGCCATCACTATGGGTGCGATGATGAGACACGCCGTACACCATGAATACATGGCTTTGGTCAGCCGCACGAGCCTAACGTCCGCTACGATCACCATTTTACAAATAACACAATCACACTAGCACAAACAAAATTTACACCATTCACTTTTAACGGCCACAAGTTTTATTTGACACAAGTTATTTACCTTGTGTCAAGTCCCAGATATAATTAAATAAAAATATCTATTAAGGTGATATATTTATAACAATTAAAAGGTTATAATACTTAATTTGTAAAATCATAGTTTCAATGTGGTTATGAAATATTGCTTTAGGAGTTATTTTGAGATAAAAACAATATGATCGTCATTAGTCACCTTAACACTAACCATATTGTAATGTATTGTGCGTATACTTGTGATGAATAAACTTACTATCGGAGACTTTTATCGTTTTAAACAATAAAAGTTATCATAATACAAATAAAATGTACACTATTATTTAATATCTACATTTTCATTGCTAAACTTTTCTATTAAACTACATGCAAATGTAATTTTTGCAAGATGTAACAAATAGTGCATGCATACCATGAATTTGATCACAAAAAAATATTTGTCATAAACTTATAACATTAATTTTATGACACAACTAAATATTTTATAATCCAAAAATATAATATTTATTTAAGAGGGCATAAGAAATCAGCAAAGCTCATCACTCAAAACTCGTGATTGCACAAAATTATAGTAAGATAATTTAATTACATATTATTTAGACAATTAATTTTATCATAATTAATAATGAACTATAAATACAGCATATATACACTTTAGTCTAAACAATTTATACAACACTCCTACGCTCATTGCTATCAAATATCCAGTGTTTTGTGCTCGGTTAAACTACCTGTAGTGGGCGCGTGTATATTTGACGCAATGGACAAGCCAGATGTTTGAAAAGGAGCTTGGTGATCGTCAGTGGCCATGGCAGCTGCGGCCTGACTTTGGATATAGCTAGGTGGCTGGACATATAAATGATCGCCCAGACCATCTGAGTAACCGTTTCCCATCGGCGATTGATATGGCACCGCATTTGTAAACGAACTGGTCATATACATGTGCCCGTTGGCCCGTAATTGATCTGGCCTCACAAAATTAAGCTGTTGGCCCGTATAGTTTGGATACCCGTTACCAGGGATTTGGTACACAATATTGTGTTGGCCGGGCATCGGCTCACCAAACATCGCGTTTATGGCCTGTTTCTTAAGTTTGCGTAAGTGTTTTGCGTACATCGAGCCAACACTACTGCTCACGAAGAATATCACCACCAGATAATAGCAGAAGAAATCGGTGGCCAGAATCGCCTCTACGATACACAGACCGGACAGTATGCTAGAGATAACACTGTACGCAATGGCCATCCAATTGCTTTGTTTGTAAGCGCCTAAGATTCCCACGATTTGGATTAATATAGCGGCCACTCCTACCGTAATGACAATTGCTCTAGCTGTTTTCTGTATAAATTATTTATAACTTGTTAATCCAACAAACTTGTATTTGTCATTTATTATCATTTATGGTCAGTTTGTTTAGTAAACTTATCTATTAATGAATAATAAATCTAATAAACTATTTATATAAATGTTCTCTCTCTCTCTCTCTCTCTCTCTCTCTCAACAAAATATGTAAAACAACAGCTATTAATATAAAACAAAAGTTGTTGTTAATTACGATAAGGGGTATATTTACAATAGTAGATGCGTTGTAGGAGGTGTTGATATCTCGTGAACTGAGCTCGATTAAACTCAGCGACATGACCACCACCATCGAGATTAGAGCGACAGCACAGCACCCATACAGTGCTCTCTTAAGGTTTCTTAGCTTATTGTCTTCATGTACCACCATTTCTGTCACAATTCAATAGGTATTTACTAAAATTAATTCACAAAAATTAAATAATAATTATAATTACTATATTCGTCACAATACAGTAAACACTTGAATATCACCAAACAATGGTATAAAGTATGCGGTTAAGAATGACATAGCACTCAAGATCATGGTTAATCGCAAATCACCATAAGTAACCTTAAGCTTATTTTCACAAAAGTATCTTTGTCTGAATAGATAACCATGTATTAGTTAATAATATTTTTATACTGATAGATTAAATGTTATTGTAATGATTACTTTGTTATTATGACATACAGTACTAATTCCTGTTTTGTTGCATAAAATAGTTAATAAATTAATGAATTTATAAATTATACATCGGTGTAATTACCAATAAATAGTTTTGTTGTAGTTAATTAGCAATAAATGCAACTCTTCTTAGTTTAAAATATAAAATATTTAAAATAAAACCAACCAACAGTATTTGTTTGTAAAATGATAAATTATCATGAAATAATTAAACTATAAAGTAGTGGTGATAAATAATGAAAATGAAATAATCAGCAAACATTTTGTTTATTTTAGTAACCATGTTATTGAGTAACTGGTCTAACCATTTTTTTTAAACATCGTGGTTAATATTATTTTTTTTAAATAAAAATACTCTGATTATAATTATTTTGATGTAAAGTTAATAATATTAAATTACTTATAGTAATTAAATGTTAATTAAGGTATTAATGACTAGAGTTACTAACATTCTATTAATAAAACAATCATTAATTTATAAATAATAATAAATATACAAATAATTAATTTATGCATCTCTTTTAGCTCATCAATATTGTGGTTATCAGTGCCACGATGGGAGTGACGGCCCCTAATTGCACCCCTCATATCTTGCTGAAACTGGTTACGTCTGAATGTGGTGTGGCGGACGATGATGTGGGTCCAGCATAAAATGGACTGGGGGTCGGGAAAGAGACCACGTGCGGTGTGGCGTTTGACGAGATGTCCACCGTTACTTGTCCTGACTGGTTGGGTGCGATCAATATTGGCTGGAAATACATCACGTCAGGTACTTGTCGCCTTGGTAAAGTGGGTATAGTATAAACTCGTTGTTCACCAGAACCGGGCATCACATTGGGTTGCAGTCCACTGTCCCCATTGCTGGGCGTTTGTGAGACAATAGTGTTTTTATCGCACCGGCGTATCTCACGGCTGAATTGAAAGCCAACGCCCGCGCAGATAACAAACTGGACAGTGAGCCACCAAAAAGCACCGGCATCTATTATAGCACCGGCAAATGATAGACCGGTCAATACTACAGATACGGCCCCATATATGATACACACTTTGTAACGCTCTTTATAGCCGCCATAAATGCCAAGACATTGATTTAATATACAGAGAACACCAATTGTTATGACAATAATTTGAGGATCTTTCTGAAAATATTAACTATCGTTAATTATATAATATTATACTAAAAAATTAATTGTGTTTACAGTGTAATAGTAGTAATTGTAACTACAACAGTCCTCATACAACGATGTTATAATTCCCATGATTATTGTTGTCGATAAAAATGATATAAAACACCATGAATAAAGTGTCCACTTGGCGTATCGGAACCGTTTATCTCGCCTTGCTTGTGGCCAGTTTAGACCAGTTGTCACGTATGTATTGCTGCTTAAATCAGGCATGTTAAATATACCAGGGGAACTATTACCCTAGTTATTTACTACCACTAGTTTAAATTAGCAATCTAAATAATCAAATTAGTTATTTACTTAAAGCACTTAATTTATGTCTAATTAATAACTTAACATGCATTATACAGAAAATAAATATAAAATGTTGGGATTGTATTTTGCATTTGAGTATATTACCGTTTTTAAATGTTATAAATGCTTAAAATCTGTCACTGTAACCTAGCATACTAGCATTGATAATATTATTATTTCACTGTTATTTTTATTTTTTATTTTATTGTTTAATTACAGCCATAATTATACGGTTTAATGCAAATAAAGCAAAAACAAATCATATGGAATATTAAAATAGCGAATTATAGTTTAACTTTTTGAATCATTTACTTATCATGAATTGTATTATAAAGTACATTAAGTATAATTTTATCGCAATACTGAGTTAATTACGATAATTAATGATTGATAATACAGTGTACATTAATGTTCAAATAGTTATTGAGGTATTGTCTTTCGTTCATCAATATTCTGGTTTACGCTGTTAACAGGCGAATGCTCGCTACCTATTTCACCCCCGTGCGCATCCCTGTTATCTTCCTGGGATTGGCTATAGGCAGGCGGCGAGGATATGGGCCCAACATAAGATGGCCCGGGTGTAGGGTAGGTGACCACGTGCGGTGTAGCGTATGACTGATTAACCACGGCCACTTGTGCTGACTGGTTGGGGGCGATCATCGTTGGCTGTATATACATCACTCCAGGCATCTGTTGCATTGTTGGAGTGGGTATAACATATGCCGATTGTGGGGCAGCGCCGGGCATTTGATAAACCACATGGGGTTGCAGTCCGTTATTCATATACACGGACTGTTGTGAGACAATGGAAGCGTTATTATCGCACCGACGTATCTCTCGGCAGAATTGAAAGGCAACGCCCGCACAGATAGCAAACTGGACAGTGAGCCACACGTGGACACCGGCATCCATAAAAGTACCGGCTAGTGATAATCCGGTCAACACTACCGATACGGCCCCATATATAACGCATACTTTGAAATGCTCATGGTGGCCCCCAAAAGTGCCCACACATTGATTTAATATACAAAGCACACCAATTGATATGATAATCTCCCTAAGCGTGTCCTGTGATTTTGTTTAAATAGTATTTATAAATTATAATCTATAATATTTTAGTAAATAAATTGTGGCTATAATTACAGCAATGCCGTGATAGTAGGTAGAGTAGTTATCATACAGGGATATTAAAACGCCCATGATCACTGTGGTGGACAAAAATGATATGAAACACCACGAGTAGAGCGTCCATTTGACGTATCGGAACCGCTTGTCTCGCATCGGTTTTTGCTGACCAGTCGTGGTGTTTGTATTCATTTTGAAAGTACACCAGGGGCAACAATTGGCAGTCTTAATAATTAAATTAATTTAAAATTAATAATTGAAGTACTTAATATTGTACAATTATACTAGAATTATACGAAAAA